GAGAGAGAGAGAGAGGTATGAGCCCCTAAGTGGATGGATGGTCAACCGAATGAATGGATGGATGGATGGACGGAAGGATGGATGGGCATAGCATGCATTGTCTGATGAATGCGTGAAAGGATTTGTACTAGCATTTATTGGTAGACGTTTTGCAGATACAGAAAGTACGTACTTTACTTTTTTTCTGTTCTCTTATAGCGCGAGATGTCGAGGAGACACGCAATGGGCAACACTGCTTTAAGCTGACAAAACGCTTTTTCTTTTTTTTTCCTTTTTGGGGCCATTAAAAAAAAATTGCTAAATAGGTAGCCTGACCCTACTTGTGTGAAAAATCAAAGGGAAACTGTGTCAAGTGTTTAAAAATAAATTAGAATACAAAATTGGTTTAATGGTTACGCTAACAAAACGCTTTTAAAATCTAGAAACTGCTGTGAATAAGAAAGAGGCGTTATGTCAGTGTACCGCAGAATGTCGTCTCACTGTGCATTTACAGGGTATATGATTCCGTCGACAATTCTTTTTCTTGGAATCGCATATACCAGGCCATTGAAGCTGACTGTAATTGTCCCGTTCTGATAAGGTACTCAAATACCTGAGTGATTTATTGTCTCTCGGTGTATTATTTAATGCTCGATTCGACGCCCTTGTGTTGCCAGGTGTCTTTTTGTGTCTTTATATGTCGCTTGTGGTGGTTTTGAGACACAACGCCACACACAATTTCAACAACTCACCTACGACTTATGTTTTGTGACTTTCCCCCCACAGAACTTCCGGTACAGGTGGTGGGCGCTGACTTTTGCTGGGACTCTTCGGAGCCGCCGATTCTGAAAAAGTGGGTTCTTTAATTCGTACTTTTCATCCAGCTGGTAGGTAGTTAGGTAGGTAGGTAGGTAGGTAGGTAGGTAGGTGGATGGGTGGGTGAGGGGGTGGGTAGGTAGGTAGGTAGGTAGGAAGGTAGGTAGCTAGGTAGGTAGGTAGGTACGAGTAGGTACGTAGGTGGGTTATTAAGTAGGTAGGTAGATAGGTAGGCAAGTATGTAGGTATAACCATAAATATGCTCTTTCAACTACGAGTATCTTTTCATCACGACCTTCCTTTGTCTTAGTTGTTATCATGCTGGACTACCAAGCGGGTGGCTCTGGTTCGAATCCCAACAGGAGGTATTACATTTTGGGGAGTTTTAAGACTCTTCCCCTATTTAGCTTGGTCCAACCGGAGAAGATATATAAATTCGGAGGTTCAGAGTCTTAAATAATCTCACAATCTCGAAAGAGGCGTTAAATCTCCACATTGCACTGTGCACCTTCATCCTTCCATCCTTTTCACCACTCTTCTCTCTTCCCTCTCCTCTTCCCTTCCAACACACGGCATATCCAATAAAGTAAAATCCCCACATTCATTTGTTTACCAGTCAATCAGTCTATCCGTCTCTTCTTCCTTCCATTATTATAATTATTATAATTATTATTATTATTATTC